CTTAAAAAAAAAAAAAAAAGATACTTAAGAGACATAATCCAATGAAAGGTATAGATCTTACTTGGATTCTGACTGAAACAAACCAAATAATATTTGGAGACAATCAGGAAAATCTGAACATGGACTGGTTCTTAGCTAATGAGGAACTATTAAATGTTAGGGGTCTATAACAATACCATAATAAGAAAATTTTCTTATTTTCTAAACATACATGTTATTTACGGGTGAAATGTCATGATAGCCTGAATTTCTTTAAAATATTTAAGCAAAAAAAAAGAAATATAGCAAATTATTACTAATAATCTAGATGATGAACATGACACTCTCTGATCTTATGAAAGCTTGCAAATTTGTTTTTTAAAAAAAGTTTTTAAAAAGGAATTAATCGCTAATCTTCCACTATGGGTCACAGAACTTGAAAATTAAATTGTAATAATTAGACTTTTATTAGGCAATCCACCTAATAAAGGCAGGAAGGAAGAAGATTACAACTTCAAAAGGTAAAGATTAAAATCAAACTAGTCACTCAGTGATTTTATGCTGTGTAAATAAGCTGCAAACTGGATGTCTGCCCGTCCAATCAGAATTGAGTGACAGGTTCACTGCACTATCCAATACTAGTTATATGCAGGTATTTAATTTTAAGTTAATTAAGACTAAATCTGATTTAAAATTCAGTTCCTTAGTTGCAATAGTCACATTTCAAGTGTTCAACAGCCACATATGGCTACTATATTGGATGGTGCGGAATACAGAATATAGAACATTCCCATCACTGCAGATAGTTTTATTGGACAGGACTATTTTCAAAAGTTTTTCTCTGACAAAGAGAAAAGGAAAATTTCTTTACTCTGGCAAATGAAGAACAATTAGTAAATACAGATGTCCATCTTATATAGGGATTTCAGACAAGAAAAGGAGAACTGAGTCAGAATGACACTAGAACTACCAGGGCTTTGAGTTCAGAGGTCTTCAAGAGGCTTAAAAAGAAAACAAAACAGCAAGGTTCTAATATTAGCTAGCAGACTAGAGGCCAAGGGAAAACTTCTCAGTTTGGGTACATCTTCCCCCCTCAAGAAATCACTAAACATCAAATGACTAAGGCATGGGGTTAGGGGACTGAGGGAGACTGAGAATTTTATCAGGTGTGCATTTCTTCCAAGAACCCAAGGGAGATCTGTCTCTGTGCTTCGTAAGCTACCATTGCTTCAATATCTAAGGTGTTAATCAAAATTAAAAAAAGCTTCAGGGAAAGAGTACATGATTGTAAGATGAATCCCCAATTTCAAAAACACAAAGTGTAAAAATGCAAAGATCATCTGAACATAAACTATGGTATAACTTCTTAAATTCAAAAATATTAGATTCAGAAATCTAAGTTAAATGCTCATTTCTTTTTAACACTTTATACTCGTTTTTCCTGTCTTGATTTTGAAAATATACTGGATTGTAAATGCGGCAAACAGAAGATGGAAAGAATGTGTCTACTGTTGCTTTAGAGGGAGGAGCAAAGTACACCTAGGTGCTGGATAAAAGGTTTACGCGATTTTACACACATTAAGCACTTAGAGGAGCCCTGGTGGTGCAGTGGTTAAGAGCTTAGCTGCTAACCAAAAGGTTGGCAGTTCAAATCTACCAGCCGCTCCTTGGAAAACCCTATTGGGCGGTTCTACTCTGTCCCACAGGGTTGCTATGAGTCAGAATCAACTCAACTGCAACGGCCAAAAAGTACTTAGAGGGGGAACCCTGGTGGTGCTCTGGTTAAGTGTTCCACTGCTAACCAAAAGGTCAGTGGTCTGAACCCACCAGTTGCTCCGTGGAAGACAGGTGTGGAAGTCAACTTCCATGACGATTTACAGCCTTGGAAACCCTACGAGGCAGTTCTACCCTATCCTATAGGGTCACTAAGAGTCAGGATCGACTTGATGGCATTGGGTTTGGTTTAAAAGCATTTGGAACAGGGTGGGGGCACATAAACACTCTATATTTTAGGGATTTCTGTACTTTTTCAGTTACCTAGTTCTGGCACTACGGTATCGTGATACAGTCTGTTCTACAACAGATGGTCCAATTGCTTTAGACATCACACTAGTGACATTACATATTCAAGCCTTAAGTGGGCCAATTGCTTTGTTCAAAACATGGGTTGCTAAAGACAGAATGGGAAAACCATCATAAATCAAGGAATCAGGAATCCCAGCACAGTGAGTTAGCAACTTGTTAGAATACATTAATCACCAAACTATGAAGATATTGTTAAAGGGGCCAAGTGGGCCATGAATATATTTAATCCAATAGTATTCATTTAAAACAGCAGAAAATTAGAAAAGACACACAACCAAATGAAACTATTTTTCGATGCCCAATTCTTTGACTAGCTAAAGATGACTCTCCATTAGCACAAAGGCTTTATCTCAGCAATCCATCACAACTATGTTTGTGCCTACAAACAGTGCATAATTGAAAGAGTTAATAGATTTGCTTGAGCCTGTTAATTTCAACCAGCAGCTCTTAAATCTGATCAGATGGGAATAAATTCATTAAAAATGAGTTTTTCTATAAGAATACTCAAGGATTTTGCTTCTTAATGAATGACTAGTAAACAGAGGGAAGAGAACTCATTTATCGGCTATATCAGCTAAAAATCAAAATACAGTAAAACTTGTGTTTATTAAAGCATTATTAAGAACTTATGTTTCACAATTAGTGCTTGGCTTTACACTTTCCAGATCCTTCCTCGTTTCATCTCAATAGTTAGAATGTAAAGGAAGTATGTATGAGCTGCTGTATTTCAGATGAAGCTGTTTTGTAAATGCTCTGTGTATAGTTCTATTTTGGTTACCTTTTACGTAAGTGAATCTTGTATCTTGACAAAGACTTAATAGGTGTTACCACAACAGAGTTAAAAGGCCAACAATTTTAGAGACCTGCTGATGCCTGGATGTCATTATGATACCATTAGTTAACACTATACAATCTCCCAATACAAATATTTTTAACTATGTGCTTGATGATCTGGTTAATATCCTATCCCAACTATTTCACTCAGCATAATTTCCTTTAAAAGCTCCAAAACATCATACTCACTTCGGAGGCACATACACTAAAACTGACATGATACAGAGAATATTATCACGGCCCCTGCACAAGGATGACATGCAAATTTGTGAAGCATTTCATATTTTAAAGCAAAAAAAAAAAAAAAGCTCCAAAACATCTTCTATCTTCACTAGTATCAATCACAATTTAAAAAATGAAATAAAAAAAAAATGCTTATAGCAGTCACTTCACTGAGCCCTTCCTGGAAGCTAGAAAAGTCAAATAAAAACTGCAGCTGCTGACGTCTAAAGGAAATGAAGAAAAATGCTGAGAATGCAGCATTCCTTTAGGTCATCCAATAACAGGATACAAGCAATTGTTTTCTGTGGGCTCCACAAATTTCGAACAACATATAAAAAATGCCTTTAACCCTTGCTGACCTCCCACCTAAACATACAGATTATTGACTATTATCAACAGAATTTTGTTAAAAGAAAGATTTGATACAAGACACCAAACAGACTTGTTTCTACTCAATGTTAGCCTTTGAAACAATCACTATCTCTTAGGAGAACGACAGGATGTAACTGTAAATTTTAAAGTTTTTTCCCAAATTAATTTTCGACTCTGGACATTCACTCGAGTTTTAAGCGATCCAATCAGAAAGGAACTGGCAGCTAGAGCTAGGACTGTCAGAGACAGTCACCTTTGACAAACTACTAGCCAATGGCTGACTGCAAATCAAAAACTTCAACTTTTGCTTCATTCTTAAAAAACAGTAACAAAATAATTAGATGAAACATTGACCAAGCTGCAGGGGAATACAAGGAAGTCTTTACTCCCCAGATGGGTTATGATTCCCCAAGGTGATCTCTTTCCTGTATAAATGCCATTCAGTTGGCCCAAAACAACCAAATACTACCAAACTTATGACTGATTATAGGTTTTGGGTGGGGTCTATGCAAGCATTCCTTTAAGGAACCAGAAAGGAGGCTTACCTTGAGGGTTGAAGAACATAATACATACTTAGTGCTGACTTTACATAAAAATCCTCAAAGGATAATTTTAATCTACCTGGAGAGACACCAAAGGCTTGGTTTCCAGGTGTGAGTAACTAAAACATATGGTCAGTTTCCTTACTATTAAAAAAACTAAAGAAACTGCATTCTATGACAACTTCTTAAAAATATTTTTAAGTGGAAATCCAGTGTTACCTTCACCTCAACTCCATCACTACTCACATAATCATGTATTTTTCTATCCTATACTGACAGACCTGTTGGGAAATCAGACATTACACTACTGTATCATTCATTTTCTATTTGTGTGAATCATTCAAAACATGATCACCCTACCAAGTGCTACAAGTTACAAGACCAGAACCATTTTATTGTGCAACTGAGTCACTGGAATATTTTCCTGTGAACTTGAGTGCCACAAATTTCAAGTTCAACTAAGTAAACGAACTAAGATACTCAGCATGAAGAATTACAGGCTATCTCAAAATCATTTAATATTAACAAATTTAGGGAGTTCAAAACATCAACAATAAAATGATTAAGATTTGTTTTCTATTAACAACTATTTAGCACCTATTATTTGACAACTTAGTATCAACTCAGTATTTTATAACTTGATTTAACTGTATATTTTGTACTTAAATTATCTTCTTTGGTAACTTTCTATTAAACTATAAATCTGTCATTACTACTGAGGAAACAACCTACAAGGAAGAAAAAACAAAAACAAATTTCAGGCTCAGAGGGCCTTGAGGGTTCAAATTGTAGCTCATGTGCCCTAAAAAGAGAAAAAAAATCCATCTCAAAATACTACAGATATTGCTTCGCTGTCTGATATTCAGTACTGAAAACTAAGATCCCCTTGATTTTTTGGTCAGGGAGAGGCAGTGGCCTGGATGATTTGTATTCTTTTTTGATTCACGGTACTAAAACTTCCCCATGCCTGTGTAGGTTGTGATCTTTCACTGATTTTGTTTCAAGTATCAAACCCTTTTAATCTTGCTTCTTTCGTATCAAGAAAGTTTTTTTCTATTGTGTAAAAACAGTTTCCATCCCAATTATTTTGGTTTCTGTAATTCCTAGATTTGTAACCTATTACCTTCCCTGCCTTTTTTAATTCTGTGATTTCCCTCTGAATTCAAAACTTCCACTTAATCTTCCACACTGCTAATTCCAATTCCACAGGGACAATCCTGCTCTTAATTGCCTTCTGGAATTAATGTTTCCATATATTTCCTATTATTATAAACCCAGTATCTCCATGGGTCTTTCTGTTCCTGTTTCAACTTCTTCTGCATGCCACAGATGATGTCAACATTTCTCTAAACTTTTTTTCTGGTTCCAGTAGAAAAGTTTTAAAAACTATTTCAAGTCTCGTCTTAGTTCTGTAATAGTTTTTCCAATAATTCCATATTTAAACAATTACTGAGCAGCTAATGTGTGCCAGATACTATACCGATACATAAAGAATTCTACAGTAAAGGGCCTCTTACCCCTTAGTCCAGTACAGGTACATGCAATTAAAATGATGTCATAAGTTACAGAGATGCATGCCTAGCCCAGATATGTGTGTGAGTATATGTAGTATCCCAGAAGAAACAGAAACACAATCTAAAGCAGAACACAAAATTAAAGCAAGAGCAGGGCCGCAAGCTGGGAGAGAACACAAAGAACTAAAAATACCATATGCACAAATAAGGTATTCATTTTCCCCAATGAGACTACCCTCCAGCCCCCCTCAAAAGCTTTTGACACGTGTTGGAGAGATGTGGAGAAACTGGAACCCTTATACACTGCTGATGGGATGTAAAACAGTACCACTTCCGTGGAAAACAGTTTTGTGATTCCTCAAAAAGTTAAACATAGCATTACCATATGACCAGCAATTCCACTCCTAGGTATATAACCAAAAGAATTGAAAACAGGTACTCGAATACCTGTACACGAATGTTCACATTTTGGCTACTCACAATAGCCAAAAGATGGAAACAACCCAAGTGTCCATCAACAGATGAATAGATAAACAGAATGTAGTATATCCATACATATTATTCAGCCATAAAGGAATCGAGTAATGATACATGCTACAATATGGATGAATCTCGAAAACATTATGCTAAGTTTAAGTAGCTAGACACAAAAGGTCACAAATTGCATGATTCCATGTGTATGAAATATCCAGAATAGGTATGTAAATCCAGAGGCAGAAAGCAGGTTAGTTGTTTGCCAGCAGCTAGGTAACCGGGGGGTGACCAGGGAGGTAGCAGGTGGAAGAGACCACTTAATGAGTATGGAGTTTCCTTTTGGAATGGTGAAAATGTTTTGGAACTCGGCATGGTGATGGTTGCACAATACTGTGAATATACCAACCCGTTCCCGTCAAGTCAATTTCAACTCATAGTGACCCTAGAGGACAGAGCAGAACTACCCCACAGGGTTTCCAAGGCTGTAAATTTTTATGGAAGCAGACTGCCACTATCTTTCTTCTGGGGAGCAGCTGGTGAGTTCAAACTGCTGACCTTTCAGTTAGCAGCCGAGCACTTAACCACTGTGCCACCAGGGCTCCTCATGAATGTAGAAAATGACATGAAATCACTCACTTTAAAATGGTTAAGTTTATGTTATGTGAATTTTCCTCAAAATAAACACATAAAAGCTTTTGGTCCTTTTAAGTTACATATAAACTCTTAGCAATTATATATTTTTAATGTATAATTCAAGTAGTCTTTTGACTTAATTTATACAGTTGTTTAAAACTATAAAATCATTAACTTGGAAATGTTCTTCTACTCTTTACATTTCACAAACTATTTTACTTAAACCCTACATATGCATTTTTTATATCAGTGTCTTCACTAGCACAGAAGCCACTTAGTCCTTTAGCAGTTTGAAAATAAATTATTTTCATTTCAATCCAAGTGCTTTTATTTTAATCTATTATTTTCCTGAGGGATATTGTGTTAAAAAAGGAAACCCTGCCCTCAGATTTGCATAGTTCAATAAAGCCAGTACAGAGTATTGTGGAAAACGGGGAAAGATATAAGCTTCTGCAAATCACGTACTCCCTGTATTTTTTTCCTAATTATTCATCCTCAAATAATGAGATCTATCCACAGCTAGCTGTTTGCCAAGCTGAGAGTGTATGGACAGTCTTTGGCTTCTTTCTGTCCACGTTGGTGGGTTTTTTTAAAAACTTCTTTTCTCCAATGAGCAGCTGATCAGAGATAAATGAAAGCAACCCTCAACTCAATCCCTATTTTCCATCTACTAGAGTCCCACAGTTTCAACAGATTGAGATCATCAAAAATTGCAATTCCCAGGGCCTCCAATATGCACTATTATGAGGAGTCTTCCTTTCCCTACTCCAGAAATGAACTTGGTGTAGAAAATGAGAAAGAGTTTGGTGCAACGCCAAGACCCTGGCTTCAATAAGAGTTCTTTCCTTTATCATGGCATATATGCTCAACTCAACTGGATAAAGACTCCTCCCAAGATAGCAGGAGGGGATATTTGAGTACCTATATGGAATGAGTTGGAATCGACTCGATGGCACACAACAACAACAACATGGAATAATCATTACGATATAAACACAAATGCATACTACAGACTAACTTCAAAATTGCCCAGGAAGTATTCAATTTTATAAATGACGAAGCTGAGACAAGCTAAAAGCCTGAAACGATCAAATAAGAGACAAAGCTCAGATTAAACATCTGAGACATTTTCCACAATAGCACACTGGAGAGTTTAACTTCTGTATAATAATGAGCAAACGTTGTTGTAATGGACTCAGTTCCTTTTCAGAAACAACCTTTAAAATCTGCTTTACTTCAGCATTTAAAAGAAAAGTTCTTATTTACCTAATGATTCAGAACAGGAAGTACTAATATTAACTGGCAGTTCCGCCTCCAAAGCATAACGCCACACGTTTGTAACCATTTTACCCTTTATTGTTATGCTCCTCAAACTGAGTAATGTTCTACTTTCCCTTCCTTCCCTCTTAAGCACAACTGTCTTCCCTGAGTTCAAGTTTTACATTAGAAAACACAGAAACATGATACAGAAAAATAGAAAGCAGAAATTTCCTGCTTTCACAAGTGCCTTCAGACTAGAACACATTCACTC